CAGCCTGGACCTGCTGTGCTGAGGCGATTCTTCTACCTTCTAAGTGGCTATAACTACAAGAATGTACCACCACACCCTCTTTTTTTTTTTTTTTTTTAAAGCAGGATTTATTGAGAGGACAGAAAAGCACAGGACAGAGATGTAAAACATGTTTTCTAGATATTATTGAAGACATAACTACTTCAGTATATTTTTGTTGTCATTTGTGGTGAAACACCACCTGTTCTTGAAAATAAGAAATTGATACTTGGTAGTTTATATTATGGACAGGATTTCATTGTCTTTCTGTGCTGGTGCTCTTTGGGTTACATTTTAAAAAAATTATTTACATGGTTATTTAATCTGGTAACTTTTTTTTTTTTTTGAGTCAGAGTCTCACATTGTCACCCAGATTCGAGTACAGTGACATGCTCATGGTTACCGCAGCCTTGACCTGCTGGGCTCAGGTGATCCGTCTTTCTCAGCCTTCCAAGTAACTGGAACTACAGGTGCATGCCACCACACCTGGCTAATTTTTTATTTATTGTAGGTTAATTGTAGTTGCCCAGGCTGATCTCAAACCCCTGGGCTCAGGCAATCTTCTTGCCTCTACCTCTCAAAATGTTGGTATTATAGACTTTAGCCACCATGCCCAGCTCTGATAACATTTGAGAAATTAATGCTGCTCCATGTTCCAGGAAAATTTACTGTGTATTTTAATACAGGAATAGATTTGGTTCACAGATGGTATTTTAGGAAAATTTTTGTCTTTGGTGTTAGTACATACATATAATCAGACACCAAAATATCATTTAAAAGCTTTTCTTGTCAATATTTGATGAGAGTACATGCTAATTTTAGTGGCAAATCTATCTTTATCACTTTTAGAATTGAGAGGTTGTTGCTTGTATTCTGAGTTTGGTTGTACAGTTTAAAACTGCCTTTTGTTAGTGCTGATGGCTCTTTTCGTTTCACCTTATGTTGCACTATTTCCTTCCATATCATTCTTCAGGTGTAGCCATTTCTAGCTATCTGAATGGAATGCCTTTTTCTTTTTATCTGTCTGGCAAACTCCTATTCATCTTATAAGACCTAGCTCGAGTGTATCCAGCAGAAATAGGATGCTATCCATAACAGCTTTCCAAAGGTGACCACCCCCCAACTCTCAAACACGTCTACCAAAGGTTGAGTTTGCTCCCATCTCTTAAAACTTATATTACAGTGTTGTTTTTTTTTTTAAAGACTGAACTCCTTAAAAAGCAGTGCTTCTTCCAGCTACTTGGAAGGCTGAGGTGGAAGAATCGCCTGAGCCCAGTAGGTTGAGGCTGTGGTGGCCATGAACGTGCCACTGCACTCCAGCCTGGGAGACAAGAGTGAGACTCCAACTTAAAAAAAAGCAATGTTTGCTTTATTCATTACTGAATTCACTGCCTAGGATAATGCTTGCACTTATTAGGCACATAGAACATATTTGAATGAATGCACTAAAAACAACTAAACATTTTAGTTGCGTGTGACCTCATAAAAATTTTATTAGTAATGAGATTTTTTTTTTTTTTTATTTATTGTAGAGATGAGGTCTCGCCAAGTTGCCCAGGCAGGTCTCGAACCCGTGGGCTCAGGCAATCCACTCACCTCAGCCTCCCAAAGCGCGGGATTACAGGCTGAGCCACCGAGCCCGGCTGGGATAATTTTATATAGAGAGAAAAATAGTAAGGGTAATACAAAGAATAGAACCCAGTTCATGTTTTTGCCATATTTGCTTTATTACTTTTAATATGTGGGTGTGTATTTTTTTATTATTGCTGAATTATTTAAATTGCAGGCATAATATTCCTTTATCTTTAACTATTTCTTCATGTATCGTGTAAGAACCAGGAATTATCTTAGGGTAATCACAGTGCAGTTAATAAATTCAGGAATGTGACATTGATGCTGTTATCTAATGGACAATTCATATCCAGATCCACTAATTGTTCATTACGATCTTTTCAGCAGTTTCCATTCCTTCACCAATCCAGGATCCCTGTCCACCCTCATTTGTTGCATTTGTAAATTAAATGTCATGCCTCTTCAGTCACCTTTAATCTGGAGGAACAGTTTCTTGGTCCTTTTTTTTTTTTTGAGTTGGAGTCTCACTCAGTTGCCCAGACTGGAGTACAGTGGCCGCTCCCGGCCACTGCAGCCTTGACCTGCTGGACTCTGGCGATCCTTCTGTCTCAGCCTTCCAAGGAGCTGGAACTACAGGCGCGCGCTACCACACCTGGCTAATTTTTTTGATTTATTGTAGAGATGAGGCCTCGCCAAGTTGCCCAGGTGGGTCTCGAACCCGCGGGCTCAGGCAATTCACTCACCTCGGCCTCCTAAAGCGTGGGATTACGGCTGAGCCACCGAGCCTGGCCCAGTGCTTTTTTTAAATTAGGCATGTGTTTAGTTTGATACTTACTTGTAACACAAAGATAACAGGCTATACCCACAAGGAATTTACACATAGTTTCTAATTATTATGCACATTTATATGACTAACTATGTATATGTATTTCTTTCTCTTTTTTTGAGTTAGAGTTTTACTCTGTCGCCCAGACTGGAGTGCAGTGGCTGCTCCTGGCCACCACAGCCTCAACCTGCTGGGCTCTGGCGATCCTTCCCCCTTAGCCTTCCAAGTAGCTGGAACTACAGGTGCGCGCTACCATGCCCGGCTAATTTTTTTGATTTATTGTAGAGATTAGGTCTTACCAAGTTGCCCAGGCGGGTCTTTAACCCGCGGGCTCCCAAGGTGCGGGATTACAGGCTGGGCCACCGAACCCAGCTATGTATTTCTGATAATGAGGTATTAGTCAAAGAAGGGAGCTAAAGAAAGTAACTGTAAAAACAGAATTAACCATATATGAATTATTTTTAACTCTTCCTATTGAAATTAAAGTACATAATCTTAAGTGAACAATTTGTTCATTTTTATATGTGTATATAGCTGTGAAACCGTCCAGATCAAGATAGAAAACATTTCCAGCACTGCAGAAGAGTTCTGCCTGACCCTTCCTAAACAATACTCATTTTTTCATGCAATTTCTGAAGGGATTCACTGTTTTGACTTTTATTACCATTGATTCGTTTTGCTTGTTCTTGAGCGTCATATAATTAGAATTTTGCAGTAGTACTCTTTTGTGTTTGGCTTCTTTGACTCAGTAAAATGCCTATGAGATTCTTCTATGCTGTTGCATGTCCCAGTAGTTGGTTCTTTTTATTGTTTTAAGAGGAGTGACCCAAAAAAACCTGGAAATATTTTCTGAATGGTGGGTCCATTGTAATACAGGCTTCCCTCCACTTGGTAGGTGTTGTAGGAACCCATCAACATCAGTGTACCAGCTAGCTTTGCTGTGAGAGACTGCATTCAGCTTCAGTGATTTTTTTTCTTTTTTTTTTTTTTTTGAGATCCAGTGTACTTGCTCATTTCATGTACACGAACAGCCTGCCCACACCTTCATGAACACGAATGGGCTGCCCATACTGCCCTGCGTGTTAGCAGCTTTTGACCAAAAACAGCAGGACTCCTGTGCCTCACCCTCCTTAGTCTAACTGGTCTCATGTAGAGTGATGGTTTTTTGTTTCTCTGATGATAAAAGTTCTCAAAGGGAAACAAAAGGCCTCAAAGGTAAACATTGTGCCTGTGTGGAAGAGATGAAACAAAGAACAGCAGAAACACTAAAAGACACCAAAATTGATGAGAGTTCAAAAACAGTTTTGAGCAGTGGAAAAACTTGGTAGGTGAATTGCATCAAAGGGAGAGTACTTTGAAGGTGACTGAAATTTAAACATGCAGGAATAAATACACAATTTTTAATAAATTCCCGGTGGTTTGAATTCCCCTATATGTAGTATTCCAACATATGAACATACTGCATTTTTTATACTACATATTTTTGTCCATTCTGTTATGCATTGGATTGTATCCAACTTTTGCTATTATAAATTAAAACTGCTGTGAATATTCTTGTATGTGTCCTTTGAGGGAAATAGCCCCTATTTGTCTAACAGTGGACTTGCTGAGTCATAGGAAGGCAACTATCAGTTTTCTAAGTAGTTGTACTGATTTACATTCCCAACAACAGTGAGTGAGAGTTCTAGTTGTGCTACATTCTGGCCTGTACATCAGATTATCAAACTAAATAGTTTTTAGCTATTCTACTGGAAATGTAATGGTATATCATTGTGGTTTTCAGTTTACATTTTCCTGAAGTTTAATGATGTTGAGCACTATTATGTTCTTATTGGCTATTCAGATATCCTCTTTTATTAAGTACCCATTTACATGTTACCCATTTTTTTTAAAGTTGAGTTACTTATATCAATATGTATAAGTTTATATAATATGTTCTGGATATGAATATTGTAGCTTTTCTTTTGACTCTCTTAATGGAGTCTTTGATGAAAAGAAACAGTTTTACATATTGATAAATCAATCTTAATTGTTACAATGATAAATCTAATCCATCAAGGTGAATTTAGTAATCAAAAACATTTTTAACTCTGTTTCAAATAGTAGATTAGACAAAGGAAAAGGAAAACCCTGAAGTGTCTGGGCTTTTGTATATGAGAATGCTCAGACAACATTCATGAGTCAGACCTACATGATTGATGGTTTAATAACATTGTCTTTTGTATGTAAATGTTAATAAGGTTTGGGGAAGTGGGAAATTATGAGACCTCTATCACTGAGCCATCTGTATTTTATTTTGGGAAAGATGTATAGTTTTGGTGTGTTTGAATATCAGTGATCAGCTCTACAGTGAACTGCTTCTGTGTATACCTACAATACTACATGTGGATATAGAAAAATATAGGACACAATAACTTTCTTTTTTTCAATAACACATATGTACTTCTGTACCCAATCTGTCATTTCTAGAAGTAGTAAATATAAATATTTCGTTTTTTCTGAATTTTTTTCCTTGAGTTTAAATTTTAATGAGCTTGGGGGCCTGACAGTTAAAATGAACATATTATCCAAATTTGTATTTCAGGTCTTTGAGGAAACTGGTTTTGATATCAAAGACTATATTTGTAAGGATGATTACATTGAACTTCGAATCAATGACCAGCTTGCTCGTTTATACATCATTCCAGGAGTTCCAAAAGATACAAAATTTAACCCAAAAACCAGAAGAGAAATTCGGGTATGTAACAATTTGCGAGTATTTTCAGGTTGTTTGACACTAACACAGTTGAGTTAAGTAGGGAATTTTTTTTAGACACTCCTTGATAATAATTAACTAAGTGAATTTTTCTTCTGTGTTTCAGAACATTGAGTGGTTCTCCATTGAGAAATTGCCTTGTCATAGAAATGATATGACCCCCAAATCCAAACTTGGTTTGGCACCAAACAAATTTTTTATGGCCATTCCTTTTATCAGGTATGTTCATATTTCTTGAAATATAAATAACCTTCATGATTCCAAAAGTTTCTTTTTATAGCCAGATTTTGAAATTGAATTCTTAATGTTTCCATAGACCATTGAGGGACTGGCTTTCTAGAAGATTTGGAGATTCCTCAGACAGTGACAATGGATTTTCCTCAGCTGGTAGCACACCAGCTAAACCCACTGTAGAAAAATTGAGGTAATGAAATATATTCATGGAATTCTGACTTTCTGGTAGTTTGGTTTTTTTTTTTAAATACAGTAACATTTTCCTTCTAAAATTTACACAGGTATATGATAACTTTTTATAGGTACCATTTTGTTATTGGTTACACAGATAATAGAAGATTTTTTAAAAGGTTTTTAATGAGATGAAAATGGTTAATTGGAGTTGGAAAGAAGCTTCAGGCACATTTTAAAATAGTATACTCAAGATGATACCAACTTTTTAGATGAATAGAAAGAACACTAGGAAAAGGAAAAAATTTGTGTTCATAGTGTAACTTTTTTCTGTTTTTACATCCTACTTTTGAGATAATTGAATTTCTGAAGACTGTTGAATGGGGAATATATTGAGGTCTGTGTTTGTGTAGGGGAGATGAGGGATGCTGATATATAACTTATATAATCATAGTCAGAACAGTGAAGACTTGGGCTTGCTTTTTTTTCTTTCTCTATTGTAGACTTATAAAGTAGGCTGGGGAAGTAACTGTTAAATAAGCATATATGCTTCTAATCAGCGTGTTAGAAATTTGCCTATGTTAGGTTCAGAGAGAGTTAATTTTTATATTTTCTCTAATTTGTATGTCCTATCATAGAATTTCAAAAATTAAACAATAGATGTAAACCACATTTGTAGTCAGTATTTTTCAATTAGATGAGTTTTATGAGGACAGAAACTTGGACAAAATACTTTCAGATGCCTTTGTAAATCTGTGGTTACAATCACCAGATTATTTACTGTTAGACATAACTGTGAAACGGTATAGAAAAAATTAAGGTAGACAGGAGTGCAGCCAAGATTAAAAAGAATCAAGACACTACCAAAAAGTTATGAAATAGCGACAGTTTGGGGTTGGGGGAAATGACATGAATGTTCATGTTTGGAAAAATCTATCCACCATTTTGTGTGGTGTGATTCCCGTATCTTTTAGTCCTGAGGTTTGTGGTCTTGGCGAGTGGGTAAGGAGATGATAAGGCAACTTCTGTAAACAAATTTCAGGTTTTTAATGGCAGGTGATGGTATTTTTAGAATATAGACTGTGATGATCTGTAGGAGGAAATGTCTAAATTTTGTCTAAAGAAAGGGTAGAAAGGCTGAAATTTTATTATAATTACAAATTACTGCATGAGTATAACCTTTTAAAATTAGATTCTAGCCGGGCTCGGTGGCTCAGCCTGTAATCCCCCTTTGGGAGGCTGAGGTAAGTGGATTGCCTGAGCCCATGGGTTCAAGACCCGCCTGGGCAGCGAGACTTCATCTCTACAATAAATCAAAAAATCATCCAGGCATGGTAGCGCATGCCTGTAATTCTGACTACTTGGAAGGTTGAGGCGGAAGGATCGCCGGAGCCCAGCAGGTCGAGGCTGCAGTGGCCAGGAGCAGCCACTGCACTCCAGTCTGGGTGACAGAGTGAGACTCCAACTAAAAATAAATAAATAAATAAAAATAAAATAAAATTAGATTCTTTTGCATAAGAATTTGAGACTTAAGATTTAATTTTCTCATTCATTGTCTTGTGCCCTTAATTTTTTGCTTTAGAAGATAGCTTAATTTCTCAGGTCCCCTTCTAGCTTGGTATGATCCATAACTGACCTTTGTGGGATCAAATTCCATACTTTAAACATCCTAGTAAGAATATGAATTGTTTGTCCTATTAAAAAGGAAAATTCACTTAACATTCATTGTTTTAACTAAATTTAGAAAGAAATATTTTCTTCAGATTTTTAAGAAAACAGTATAATCACATATAAGGAGAAGATGGCATGGATAATTTTTTAAAGACTGGGATGAAAAATAATAGGTTATTCATTCAAGAAATATTTATTTACTTTTCTGGGCGATGGGGATAGATACTAGATAAAGCAGACATGAATCTCTGCCCTCGTGGAATTTACATTCCAGTTGAGGGAGATAGAAAATAAATAAAAAAGTAAAATATGGTTGTAGTTTGTAAATTAAACTTATTAAGATATTAAACAACTATAGCTGAAAATGTTCTGATCTTATTTTCATTTTTAAAATCTTGGTATAGTCGAACAAAATTTCGCCACAGTCAGCAGTTATTTCCTGATGGTTCTCCTGGTGACCCATGGATAAAGCAAAGGCAGCCACTGCAACAAAAGCCATATAATAATCATTCTGAAATGTCTGAGGTTTTAAAAGTGAAGGTGAGTGCGCACAGTTAATTTTGCAGATTTAGAACATTTTGCTTTGAAATCAGTCTCATTTGAGGAATTGCTTTTTCCCTCCCCTGATTTGGGGTCTCACACTCTGCTTAGGCTGGAGTGTGGTGGCAATGATCATGGTTCACTGTAGCCTCAACTTCCTGGGCTCAGGTGATCCTTCCGCCTCATCCTCTCTTGTAGCTGGGACTAGAGGTGGTGCCACCATGCCTGGCGCTTTTTTTTGTAGAGATGAGGCCTCACTATGTTGCCTAGGCTGGTCTTGAACTTCTGGGCTCAGGCAATCCTCCCAAAGTGCTGGGATTACAAGTGTGAGCCACCGTGCCCAGCCAGGAATTGCATATTAATAGTGTTAGAGCTCTGAAAAGACTCCTGTGTTTCTTACTTTTGAATTGAAGCAGAGCTGAGACTCCTTAGTGTTTACAACTTTGGTATAGATCTCGTGTAATGAGTAATAAGAATTAGCATCTAACTTTGGTATGTATATTCCCGATGAAAGGTTCAGTTTAAAACATAGATAATAGGGAAACTATCTTCCAAATTAAGATAAGTAAGATCTATTGACTTTTGTTCAGAAAAAAGAAGTAACAGTGTATTGTATGATTTTATTTTCATCCATTCTACTCTTAATGGACATTTTGGTTACTTCCAGTTTGGGGCTTTAACAAACAGTGCTGCTATGAACACTTTACTATAAATACTTCTATACATGTCTTTTGATGAACATACATCCTTCTTTTGTGTAACTAAAGGAACTAAAAATAGAATTGTTGGTTACTCGATATGCTTGTGTTATTGAGCAGGGGTCTCCAGCCCCTAGACCACAGACTGGTACCCATGTTACCGCCTGAGCTCTGCCTCCTGTCAGATCAGTGGCAGCGTTAGATTCTCATAGGAGTGCAAACTATTATGACCTGTGCATGTGCTCCTTGTGAGAATCTAATGCCTGATGATCTGAGGTGAAGTTGAGGTGGTGATGCCAGCACTGAGGAATGGCTGCCAATACAGATTAACAATAGTAGTGAGGTTTGACCACACAGAGACCATTATAAGTCAGTTGCTTGCAGACTCATATCAAAAGCCTATTAGTGTGTTGCAAGTGAGTTGATGTATGTGGTTGTACTACTTTATCTGGTGGCGGACTTTAAGTCAGAATCCAACACTTATTTTAGTCTGCATATGGCTTGCCCATTATTTTATTTACCACTTCTATCTGCGCCTCTTTTCTAAAAAAAATGGTGTCATATAATTATTTCATTAATAATATTAATATAAGCTGGGCTCGGTGGCTCCGTCTGTAATCCCACACCTTTGGGAGACTGAGGTGAGTGGATTGCCTGAGCCCGCGGGTTCGAGACCTGCCTGGGCAACTTGGTGAGACCTCATCTCTATAATAAATAAAAAATTAGCCGGGTGTGGTAGCGCGAGCCTGCAGTTCAAGCTACTTGGAAGGCTGAGGCGGAAGGATCGCCGGAGGCCACCAGGTCGAGGCTACAGTAGCCTGGAGCGGCCACTGCACTCCAGTCTGGGCGACAGAGTGAGACTCCAACTCAAAAATAAAAATAAAAAAATAAAAAATAATAATACTAGAAAGAAAGTACACAATAAATACTGTGTACTTGAGCCGTGCCAAAACCATCACCCCTCATCTGTGGAAAAATTGTCTTCCACTAAACCAGTGCCTGATGCCAGAAATGTTGGGAACCTCTGTTATAGAATATATACTTGCAAATAATTTTCTCCAGTAATTTATATTCCCAGCAATTCTAGTTGTTCTAATTGTTCCACATCCTTACTTGGCATTATGTCTTTTTTATTTCAGCTTTTCTTTTTTATTTTTCCTTTAAAAGATTTATTGTGTTTGTCAAAATTTTAAAAAGTTCATACTTCACAGGATGTTATGAAAAGAGAAAAAGAGCCCACAAAATAGAAAATGTTTGCATGTTATATATACAATAAAAGGTTAATATCCAGAATATTTTAAAAACTCCTAGAACTCAACAACAACAAAACAGCTCAATTAAAAAATGGACAAATGACTTAAATAGACAGTTATTCCAAGAAGATATAACATGGTCAATAAGCACACAAAAGGATAGTTAACATTACTAATCATTGAGATACTATTTACCCTTTATGATAACTATAATAAAAGCCAAAAATGACAAAACTGAAAATAACAAGTGTTGTTGAGGATGTGGAGAATTACCACCATGTGCATTGGAATGTAAAATGGTGCAGCTGCCTTGGAAAACAGTGTCAGTTTCTCAAAAAGTTAAACAGTTGCCATATGACCCAACAAATCCACTCTGAGGTATATATCCAAAAGAATTGAAAGCAGGACTTAAACAGATAATTTACTTACCAGTGTTCATAGAAGCATTATTCATAATAAGGAAAAGGTGGAAACAACTCACGTGTCTGTCAAAGATTACTAGAGAAACAAAATGGGTTGTACATGTAGTGGTATATTCAGTTGTAAGGAAATGATATTAAGAAATGAAATTTAGCTAGGCATGGTGGCTCATGCCTGTAATCCCAGCACTTTTGGGAGGTGGAGGCAAGAGGGTTGCCTGAGCTCAGGGGTTCGAGACCAGCCTGGGCAACATGGTGAGACCTCATCTCTACAATAAATCACAAAAATTAGCTGGGCATGTTGTGGAACACTGAGGCAGAAGGATTGCCTGAGTCCAGCAGGTTGAGACTGCTGTGACTATGAGTGTACCATGGCACTACAACCTGGGTGACAGAGTGAGACTCTAACTCAAAAAAAAAGAAAAGGCAGGGCACGGTGGCTCAAGCCTGTAATCCCAGCACTTTGGGAGACCGAGGTGAGGGAATTGTCTGAGCCTGTGGGTTTGAGACCAGCCTGGGCAACATGGTGAGACCTCGTCTCTACAATAAATTAAAAAATCAGCTGGGCATGGTAATGTGCGCCTGTAGTTCTGGCTACTTGGAAGACTGAGGCAGAAGAATTGCCTGAGCCCACCAGGTCGAGGCTGCGGTGGCCAGGAGTGTGCCACTGCACTCCAGCCTGGGCGACAGAGAGACTCCAGCTTTTTTTTAAAAAAAGAGAAAGAAAAGAAATTTGGGCGTGGTGGTTCATGCCTGTAATCCCAGCATTTTTGAAGGCAGAGGTGAGAAGATTGCCTGAGTTCAGGGGTTTGATACCAGCCTGGGCAACATGGTGAGACCTTGTCTCTACAATAATAAATTAAAAAAATTAGCTGGGCGTGGTGGCGTATGCCTGTGTTTCCAACTACTTGGAAGGCTGAGGTGGTAGGATCCTGCGCCTGGCAGGTCAAGGCTGTGGTGGCTGTGAGTATGCCACTGCACTCCAGCCTGGGCGGCAGAGTGAGACTGCAACTAAAAAAAAAGGAAAACAAAATTTTAGCCAGGTGTGGTGGCTCATGCTTGTAATCACTTTGAGAGGAGGCAAGAGGATTGCCTGAAGCCAGGGGTTCTAGACCAGCCTGGGTAACTTAGCAAGATCTCGTCTCTACAATAAATAAAAAATTAGCCAGGTGGCATGCACCTGTAGTTCTGGCTTCTTGGGAGGCTGAGGCAGAGGAATCACCTGAGCCCAAAAGGTTGTGGCTGTGGTAGTAGTAAGTGTGCCACTGCACGAGGCTGTGGCGGCAGTTAAGTATGCCACTGCACTCCAGCCTGGGCACTGCGACTCAAAAAAAAAGAAAAAGAAATTCTGGTACATGCTACAATATAGGTGAACCTTGGTGATATTATGCTAAGTGAAATAAGCCAGATGCAAAAGGACAGATGTTTATGGTTCCACATAAATGAAGTATCTGGAATTGACAAATTTGTAGAGATACAAAGTAGAGTTAACAAATTTAGATGGAGGGGAGAATAGGGAGTTATTGTTTATTGGATACAGTTTCTGTTTGGGAAAGTAGTTGAAATGATAAATTCTACGCATATTGTATCACAATGAAAAACAAAAACAAACACTGGGAGAGCAGAAACCCCTTGGGTCCCCTTTTGCTCTGGGAGCTTTTCTGTCCTCTCATTAAATCCTGCTTTAAAAAAAAAAAGTGTATGGCGACATAAGTTTCTGAAAGCCATATTTATTTTCCTACCATAATCTATTTAAGTTAGGCTATTGTTTTTCAGCTGTTTTAGCAACTGCCTAATTTTTTCTGTAGGTAGTCAGAATGTAAATTAATGTATCTTTGTTTTTATGTCATATTTAAAAATAACAAAGTTTCTATTTTCTCACCATTTTATCTAGTCTTCTTAAATAGCTATCTCTTCAAGGTCTCAAAGGACAAATTAATGTTTACAAAGTGTTTGCTTTAATTTGAACTTAGAATTTTTTGTGGGAAAATTAATTCACGTTAAAGCAATTTAATAGCAAGATTTAAACTACAGTATGTTAGATGTTGTCTAAATTTAGAAATAATAACCCACATTTTAAGAACACCAATCTTTATTATATATTTTGTAAAAAGAGGTTCTTCATATAGTCTTATTTTATTTATTAATGCTTTAAAGCAGATTTCCAGGGTAACAGTTGATCATACCTGTTGCCGATTTTCTGCTTTAAGAACCATGGCCAGTGTGCCTCAGCATTCCCTTGGAGAGAGATTTTTTTTTATGTATCATAAATAAAATCTGTAAGCAGGAGTGGGATCAGGCAGAAGGTTTGGGAAGGTTCCAAGAGATCATTGTATTTGCTATTTCATACTTTTAGAGAGATCTTGCCTTGGGAAGCACTATCTTCCATTAAAAAAAATATTGATATGGCGATTTATGAAAATGTGGGTGCGGGGAGCTTTGCTGAAAACTTGATTTAACCAGCTAAACATATTCATAGGGGTATATTATTTTGTGCTATTACATTATACTATAGATTTATGTTTTATTTCTTATTGGAAAAACAGAATCAGAGTATGAGGGGAAATGGCAGAAAACAGTATCAAGACTCACCAAATCAAAAGAAAAGAACAAATGGGGTCCATAGTCAGCCAGCGAAGCAGCAGAATTCCTTGATGGTAAGAGTTGCCACTTCCATACTAAGGAGGCCGTGCACCCTTTCAAGAGTGGGGCAAGGTCATTGTCGAGTCACATTAATGTCGTTTGCTTTGTTCTTATTTTAATTTATTTATTGGTAGAATTTTTATGGAGCTAAATTGTTTTTTGTTGTTGTTGTTGTTGTTGTTTTTGAGTTGGAGTATCCCTCTGTCGCCCAGGCTAGAGTGAAGTGGCTCACTCACAGCCACTGCAGTCTTGACCTACTGGGCTCAGGCGATCCTTCTGCCTCAGCCTTCCAAGTAGCTGGAACTACAGGAGTGCACTACCACACCTGGCTTACTTTTTTGATTTATTGTAGAGACTAGGACTCACCAAGTTGCCCAGGCTGGTCTCAAACCCATGACCTCAGGCAATCCTCTTGCCTTGGCCTCCCAAAGTGTTGGGATTACAGGCTTGAGCCATCATACCTGGCCAATGATTTACTTTTTGCACATTAAAAATCTCTCTTTGGCCACTCTTAATTACAAGTTTGTAGCATTGATTGAATTGCATTTCTAACTTTTGCTTTTTATGTGGCTATTTACATTTATTTTAATGCCATGGAGAACTATGTGTAGTCAGAACCATTCTGTAGAGCACTTCTACAGCGGTTGTTTTACTGTGTTTTTCTGAACATTTTTACTATTTTAATGAAAGTAAACGTTTGGGAAAACTTCATGTATTGCTTTCTTCAAATTGATAGAATTTAGAAAATCAAAATTGAGAAAATACTCATAGCCAGTGCTGTTTTCATAGGAGTAGGTCTAAAAACAAATATCTGTGATCACTTTTCGTTCTTTTATTTAGTCTGTGCTCCCGAAGGTAATTCATAAGTAATGGTCTTCTGGTATTTGTATGTTGGGATTTCTTATTGTAGTGTCACTTATTTTTCATTTCTTCAACAGTGAGTAGCGATTTCAGATTTTTAGCCAACATATCTTATGTGAATTCTCAATGTTACTCATTCGACTTGGGGTGTAGTGGCTCCATCAATAAATATATGTTAAAGATTTATTTACTGTCAACTACTTGGCCTTTACTTTTTAAAAAGATTTTTTGCTAGTAAAGGAGAGAAAACCTATACTATTATTTCTCTTTTCTCCAATAAAAGTAGTGACAAGAACAAAGGAGACAGTCTTAATAGGTGCTTAAAAGGCTTTTTAATAAAATTTAACTTTTGTTTCTTACAAAAACTGGACAGATACTTCCTTATTGATAATATTGTACAAATGTTCATTCTCTTCAAATTTACATATGAATTTAATTTGGCACCAGTCAAAACCCTTATTGATTTTTGGGGATAACTTCACAAATGACTCTCAAATTTGTATAGATGGACTTGAATACAGTTTTTTAAAAGGAAAGTTTATGGTGGAGAACGAAGTACATAAACTGTCTATAAGAGGAAAGAAAAGGGACTGATAATACATGTAAAAAAGTCAAAGAATGTAAACTAAAATGGATACCATTTTCCCCTCCTCAGATGGGCAAAAATGAAAAGATTGATAATACCCAGTTGTGTATTATTGAATGTATTGGCAACACATGAAAATTACTAATTGGTATAGCCTTCTAGAGAGGAGTTTGCCTATATCAATTTCCCTAAAAAGTGCTGATCTTATTTTCCTAGAAGGGGAACTTGAAGAATATTCACCCTCTTACAATTTTTTGAGTTGGGGTCTCCTCATCCAGGCTAGAGTGGCACAATCACAGCTCACTGTGGCCTCAACCTCCTGGGCTCAAACAATCCTCCTACCTTAGCCTCCCGAATAGCTGGGACTACAGACGTGCACTCTCTTATTCTTTATAATCATGAAAACATGGAAACAATCTAAATATCCAACGAGATATTAAATACAGTATTGTAGATGAATGCAATAGACTATCAAGTTGGTAAAAATGATGTTGATTTGTATTTATTAAAAAATTTATTCACAATATATTAGATATTAAAAGGTTCTAGGACAGTAGCATGTATTATATAATTCCATTTAAAATATACACGACAATTTATTAGCATTTTATAGAAAAGATATAGAAAGATAGGCACTATAGTGTTACTAGTGATTACCTCTGGATTGAGGAATATAATGAATAATATTTTTCTTTTTTCTGGTGTCTTTATAGTGTTCGTGTATTCAAGAACTAAAAAAAGTTTTAGGCTTAATAAAAAATAAATGCAATAGAAAAAAAGTGAGAAAATGGGATGGTGCTTATATTCCTGATTTATTTTTCTATGTAAGAAGTTGGATAATGTAATCTCCTGATTTTTGTTTGTTTGGCTTTTTTTGAGTTGGGGTCTCAATCTGTTGCTCAGGCTGGAGTGCAGTGACACAATCACAGCTCACTGCAGCCTCAACTTCTTGGACTCAGGCAGTCTTCCTGCCTTAGCCTCCTGAGTAGCTGGGACAACAGGCATATGCCACTACTCCCAGCTAATTTTTAAATTTTTTGTAGAGACAAGGTCTGGTTATGTTGCCCAAGCTGGTCTCAAACTCCTGGACTTGAGCAATCTTCTCTCGTTGGCCTCCCAAATTGCTGAGTTACAGGTGTGATCCACTGTACCCAGCCTCCGAGTTTTAATTAAGTGAAATAACTGCAGACTGTGTTGTATGTGTGTGTGTTTGTGTTTTTTTTATTAGAAATGTGAAAAGAAATTCCATCCACGAAAACTTCAGGATAATTTTGAAACAGGCAAGTCATTTTCTGTCTTTATAATCTTTGCCTGTGGGATTTGGTTTGGTTTCACCTAACTTTGATTTTAATTTATGTATTCTGTAGAAAGAATTAACATATATGGAGTTATCGAAATATGATGCTGGCTAAAATGAATACTTAAATAATAAAGATGAATTATTTGCCTTTTGACTGTGCTATTTCTTTTGTGAATGTTAAGCTTTAGAGCTATGCATGAATATTGTAAATAAATAAATAATTGCTTGAGGATTAGAGGGAGAATTAGAGAGAACCAAGTATAAAGGCGAGGAAATCCTATTCTCATACATATATATAACAGAAGGGACTTCAGAAGGGAAATGTTTTGGGGATAATCACTTGGTGGTTTTCCTTATATACATGTTAATAAATTTATGTGCCATTTCTCTGATTAAAAAATCGAAGGGGAATATTTTCCCCATTTGGAGGTAACAATGATCAACCTTAACATGATACAAAGACTAGCTTTCAGCAAAATGATGCTTGCAATTTCTCCTTTTTCAATTATGAAAACTAAGTGTGTTGTCTGGTTTGGAAAAGTAATCCTAATGATTGTAGAAAGCTCTTTGATAATACTGGTTTAATAGATGTCATTTGGAAGTGCAATAGACTATTTTTTTTTTAGGTGCTGTTCTGAATTGTAAGAAATTCCCTATGCAGTAGATATGCATTTTTCACCATTTAAATGTAAGCCTTTCATATAGAGAAGTCTAAGAAGTGAAAAGCATTATCATACTCCTCTGCAATACTATCTGTGATTTAAGCAAGATAAAAGCTATTTTAAAAGAGATTAAAGAAGCTGGGTACGGTGGCTCACGTCTGTAACCCCAGCACTTTGGGAGGCAGAGGCAAGAAGATTGCCTCAGCCGAGGAGTTTGAGACTAGCCTGGGCAACTTGGCGAGACTTCACCTCTACAATAAATAAAAAAAATCAGCCAGGTGTGGTCATGCGCACCTGTAGTTCCAGCTACTTGGAAGGCTGAGGCAGAAAGATCATCTGAGACCAGGAGGTTGAGGCTGCAGTGGCCGTGAGCGTGCCACTGTACTCCAGCCTGGGTGACAGAGTGAGACTCCGACTCAAAAACAAACAAACAAACAAAACCAAAAGAGATATTTTAATGGAAAGTTAAAACTATGAAGTAGAAACTATCATTAGAGTTTAGTTTTATATAATCCCACTTGTTTATTTTTCCTCTTGTTGCCTGTGTTTTTGGTGTCATATCCAAAAAATATCATTGCCAAACCCAGTTTCGTGGTGCTTTTTCTCCTGTGTTTTCTTCTAGGAATGCTACAGTTTCAGGTCTTAGGTTTAATAAGTCATTAATCCCTTTTGAGTTCATTTTTGTGTATGGTATAAAATAAGGATCTTTTTTTTTTTTTTAACCTGGATATCCAGTTTTCTCAGCACCATTTATTTTGAAGGGTCTGTCCTTTCTCCTCATTAGATATAGATAAGTTATGGGAGTAGAAGTTCTCTTAATAGGATTTTTTTCCCGTTGGGGACATGATAGGCTAATAGTTAAATCTAATTCACATACATTCAGAAATCAGTTATTTCACAAGATCTTTTACAAGCCATGTTTAGAAACATTAAAGGAAACACACTATACCTTATATTCATCTTAGTTGGGCATGATATCAATGTATAAAACAAACTGTTTTGAGGAAGAAGCATAAAAGGATTCTTGTCCTGGAAAGCCTCATTTTAGACTTACTTTCTGCCTTAGTTCACTCAACCTGTTTTCCAGGTCAATTCCCCGCTCTATTTAAAATAAACAAAAAGTCCCAGGTAAATTGGAGTTTTGTTGTACTATGATTTTGAAAATTTGGAGGTTTTTTTAGGTTGGAAGACTTGGTGAACTCTAGATTTAGTTTTCTAAAATTGTTAATTTTGCAGTTCTTATAGTATAAGCGTAATTTTTACAGTGCTTTCATTCTGATCTCTGTTAAGAAGTTCTCATTAGGGTAGCACAAAGTACAGATCAAGGAGGTAGATAAAGTTATGCCCATTTTGAAAGCAAGGGAATGTCAAGGATCTTAAAGACTGAGATTAAGATTTTACATGTTTGTGTGGAAATAAGTAAAAATAGATTAGAAATGCAGTTGAGCACCTGTTTAGGAAAAGGAAAAGATGTATCTTGGTTTCTGCTTAGGGTTAAATTTAGAGTGTGGGAAAATAAACATACACAAATGAATTCCTATAACAAAAGGTGAAGGGCAGTATTTGATTTCTTACTAAGGTTGTTGAACTTGCTCTTTTTCTTTTTTTAAATCTGAAATGATGCAAATTTACTTTGCTTTTTAAACAGATGCTGTATATGACTTATCTTGCTCCAGTGAAGACCAGTTGCTAGAACATGCTGAAGGACAATCTGTAGCATGTAATGGACATTGCAAGTTCCCCTTTTCATCCAGAGCCTTTTTGAGTTTCAAGTTTGACCATAATGCTATAATGAAAATTTTGGACCTTTGATTGCAGCAGCTGCATTGTAGATGTCCCAAGATCAGAGACCTGTTGCATTTGAGTGGGTGTCTCCTCAAGCCTTACCTTTCTCAGGTGTTTATAGAAATGCAGGGAGGCAATGTTTCTGAAGAGATTTTCTGTGCAGAAGAGAGCAGAAAGAAACACGAATTTGCACTGTAAATGCAGTTATAATGTTTTATATAGATATACCTTTTCAGTGTTTGATACATATTTCAGTTGCTAATTCTTTTTTTTTTGGAGGGCATTTATTCTGTGTGACTGGGTTTTATTTTGTATTCTGGTCAAGAAAATTGTGTTGAGTTATCATCAAGTAACCAAGTTAATGGGAATACTCCATCTACCCACTTCATTGATTCCAATACTAGTTTACTTATATTGACATTTTAAAAAAGAAACTTAAAATACCCAATTACTTATTACTAAAAACGAGAACTGACATGTCACAGATGTCAAGATTACAGGTCATCTACTTTGATGGCATTTTGTATATTTCTCTGCTACTAAGCACTGAGGCTCTCTAATTCCCCTCTATCAGGGTTATGTTGAAAGAATTTATTTAGAGCCAACTTCTGCAATATGATGTTCATGTTCAAAATGAACCCTTTGCACTTCATAAGGACAAAGTCTGCAACCTGGAGAGGGATTGAGTTGGTGGGGAGTGGATGCTATAAATTCGAGTTGTGATGCATGCAGTCAGTAAACCTGAGACTGCTGAAGAAAGGGTAGCTGAGCTGGAACCCAGCAACTACTTTGGGTCCTGTCTTCAGCATCCTGCCTCCAACCCTTTAGTATTGTACAATGATTTTGTTCTTGTGGAAATTTCTTCTATATTCCAGTTGTGTAAATATGTATGGAAAACTGATATTATTAGGTTTTACATTGCATCTCAGTGTTGATCTATGGAAACTGATGTCATATTAGGTTCCAATTGACAATAGTAGCAGAGACTGACATGGTTTTTTTGGCCCCTGGATGATGGAGTGAGAAGGGAAGGGGTATATAGTTTACCCAAGTACAAATTTTCACTAGGCTACATGTCATGTACGATACATGAAAATAACATATATAAACTCACTCCTAGGAATGTATTTTACTCCTTCAGGATTCTTAAATCCAAATAAGGAAGGCAGTGCCCATTTAAGAAGGATTTCAGCTATAATTGAGGACAATCACCAGGGTTTTAAGGGGGCTTTAGTGTTTTGACTGCATCTAACCTCATTGAAGGTATTGTGTGCATGGTGGGTCGTTTGAGTGTATATATATATGTGTGTGCATCTGTCATGTGGGTTTTAAAAATCTTTTTTTACAGTGGTATCCACGAAATACTTCTCTGCTTGTAAATGTTATTTTAGAAATCTTTATTCTGTATAAGTAGCCTATTTAATAGGGGTTCTGCTTAACCCCATAGGACTTTTAAAAGAAGGGCTATTGTAAGGAGTTTACTATGTTTTAGCTTTTAAATGGCCTGATTTTAAAGGAGAAATTCTATTTATTAATGAAGTGTCACCCTCTTGGTGCTAAGCAGGAGAACTCACAATTACAGCAGTGTGTATACAATTACTTTATTTAGAATCCTGCGTATTGTAATGTGACAAATTTGTGAATCCTTCTGTGACCTTTGCTTTTTAGTGCATTATATGATTGCATTTGGAAACTCTTACTGTTCTTTTCAGAAATACAGCTGCTTTGCTTGGGTCCCCTTGAGCCATATTTATAGTTGGTCCCAGCATTCCAGATTTCTGTTAAATTCTTAAAGGAGTGAAAACTTAGTTGCCTGGCACGATGAATAATTTTCACTCATTTATTGTCATCTGGAAACTATTTAACTTGTGTTTTTTGTGCGTTTTTTTCTTTTTAAGTGAATACTTTGGTCAGTCTTTCTGGTGCCTGTAGAGTTGGATTTTTCAGCTCTCAATACTGAAGCAAAAGAGATTAGTTACCAGAAGTATGTCCTGTAATGGTGTTGAGCCTTTTCAAGAACCAACAAATTATCTTTTTGATTACAGTAGCTTAACTATTATTAAATGTTATTGCTGTTGTGCTGCTTTATTTAATGCACTGTGGAACAAAATAAGGGTATTGTTGAGATGTGACTATGATAACTCCAGGCTTTTAGCTCTCCTTACAGATATTTTGAGGTTAAAAATATTAAAAGATGTGAGTGAAAGTTTATGTTTATGATGTGACTTAACTATGCAGTAAATGTTTAAGTTGGATGTACTTGTTTTATGTACATCTATTTTACTTATTCCCCCAAAACCTGTATGTTAGTTTCTCAGTGTTCAGGTTACCTTGAGAATGGCCATGCTTAGCACAGAACTGGATTTCTCCTTAGAGAAATTTTAGCATGGTAAGGAGTATGCGAAATATGCAATAATTTACTTCTACTGAATGCTGCATTTTAAGAAGCTAGGTGAGAAAATTTCATTATGTTTTATGTCGTCTTTGTGAGAGAGATAGGTTTTGGGATTCACTTTTTAAATGTCCTTTTGTTCCATCCTTATATGTTCCAAGGTGCAGTGCACTGTGAATCTTTTATTTTTTTAAAAGATTGTAGGTGCTTTTATGTATAAATTTAATGATTTATAAGATACTAAATGAATTGGTTTTGTACTTAACCATTGTAATCCAAAAGATAAGGGTGCAGTTTACATGCTTTTCACAAGTTTTTGTTAAGAAGTAGCAAATAAATGGTTTAAGATTTCAAATAGCGATGCCCTCCTGAGACATGCGCATTTGGAGAGGTTTGAGAACCTAAAAAATTCTTTTAACATATATGAATTTTGATTAAAGATATTGGAAGATTAAGTTGGACTTTTGTATTCATGTATAAAGGAAAGTCTCCCAGTGCTGTCAAAGGAATTGGGGTCACTGCTTGCTGTTTTGAGTTTTGAATATCCTTATTTTTCTATGAAATACCAGTTAGTAAGTACAGCTAATGAAGACATGGTGAAATTAATTTTATGCTACAATACTGGGTTAGTATTTTTTTTCTTTTGGTGGCTTTAGTAATTTGTGTGTAATGTCAAATAAGAGAACTCAAGCTAAGTGAATAACATTTGTCCACTATAGAAAATAAATTCTTTTGTAAAACTCAACATACTGTGTTTTATAGAGAAGTCAAGGTCTCAGTGCATGTGCGCATTAAAAACATTTCACTACCTATTCCCTCACTTATCTTTTTTTTTTTTCCCCCGTTTTGGTCTCTAACAGTTAAACAATAAGGAGAACAAAGTCAGTTATAAAAATTAGACTTTCTGCCACTATGATACACTTTCTTGACTTTTTATCATTTTTGTACCAGTGGACCTCCCTGCTCAGAGACTTTGTTTTGATTGACATTGTGTTTCTGTATTCTCTGAGGCAGTATTTTTTTGTATGATAATCATAAGTTGTAATAAAGTCAGATTTATTGACATTTTCTTCCTACTAATCTTGACTTGGATTCTTTTCTAGCCTAGGGAAAGGTGTTCTTATGTATTGTTGTAACTTTAGGTTAATGATAAATAAGATAGACAGTTTTTTTTTTTTTTTTTGCCTGAAGGCATCCTTTACATACCTGTCTCTAGGTAACAAGTGTTAGTAAAACAACAGTTTTGGCTGACCTCATTCTTGACAGCTTGGTAAAGCCTAGCTAGAATTTCTCATTTTCTATTATATTTTGAGACTTTAAAGTGCATTTGTCTAGTTGCCAAAAATTCTAAAAATGAGATTATGGTGAGCTTTCTCAGCATCTTTTTTCTTCCTACAGTTGAGTTGCTTTTGAAGCCGTACTCCTATGTCAGAAAGATGGCAGATTGCAGATGGGCAGTACAGGCTTTGTCTCATGTTTTTTTAAAAGTAGAGTTCTGGACTGCAGTTACAAAAAATATGATAGGTTATTATCACAGAACAAAAGTGTCCTGAAGGGGAGAAGATAGATAGCTATAGTAGTGGGGCAAAGAGAGTATAAGGAAATTTTAGAAGATGTATCAATACTTGAGTGCTATATGATGCACCAGGCTAGAAATGTGATCATTGCATGACTTGAACATAGTCATATACATATATATATATATATATATATATATATGACCTTTACCAAGTGTTTTCTAGCCCTGGATAAAGCTAATTTTTTTCTAAGTATGATTGCCAAGCAATCCAATGAACTTATAGCAGTTTTTCTCACTTTGAAGACCAGTGTTTGGGAGTCTGATCCTTCCTGTGTTAAAACTCAAGCCAAAGTGAAGTACACTGCTTTCTTAAGATAACCCAGAGCACACACAGCCATAATCAGCCGTGTGTGTTAATGGTCACTTCAGTGGTAACTGTACATTTGTCTTGAGTGGTGATTCATTCCTTTTCATCTAGCTTTTTTGTAACAAACAGCATTTATTATTAAAGTGGTAGTCTATCTAGGGAAAAGAATGAAACTGATTGTCATGCATGGGAGTGGATCTGAAGGGTTGGCTTCTACCAGTTGAGTTGCTCAAACTTCAACATAAAGTACAAACAATTATAAAGAAAAAACTATGACAAAGTATGGAGGTCTCATCTTCAGAAATGTTCATAATGGAATCTTTAATCTGGGTTACCAGAGTAATGGAATCATCAGTAAAAACATTCCATTTTATCTTGGGTCTTCTGTGGTTAGCAGAGGTATGGTCTAGCTATGTTAGCAGCTTGAAAGCACAACCTAAGAGGAATTAGCCTTCACAAGGTGCTTACATTAGCTGGGTAATGTTGATCAAGGCTACTATGAAGAGAGTGAATGCAGCAATCAATTGCTTGTGTTTGTAACCTTGTCCACATGGATCTTCCTCTTTAGTAGACTTTAGTCCTTTAGTCCAGTAGAAGACTAAGGCCCTGAATATGTATTTTCTACTTTTTTGGCAGGAGAGTTCCTGGAAGTGGCTGGGTATTTTTTTTTTTTTATTGGCAACTGTTTATTTAGTGCCATTTAAAGACCTGTTGTTCCTTTTTTTTTTTTTTTTCCTTCTTGAATTGGAGTCTCCCTCTGTTGCCCAGGCTGGAGTGCAGTGGCAGGCTCACGGCCACCCTAGTGTCGACCTGCTGGGCTCCTGCGATCCTTCTGCCTCAGCCTTCCAAGTAGCCAGAACTACAAGCATGTGCTACCACTCCTGGCTAATTTTTGTTGTTGTTTATTGTAGAGACAAGGTCTCACCAAGTTGCCCGGGCTTGTTTCAAACCTACAGTCTCAGGCAATCCACTTGCCTTGGCCTCCCAAAGTGCTGGGATTACAGGCCGAGCCATCGAGCCTGGCCGACCTGTGGTTTCTTAATCCTTTTTCTTGGTGTGACTGGTCGGGAAGAAGCCATTGAGTCCTTTTTTTCCCCCCCTAGTGTCTTGCCCTTTCTGTAGAGTAATTGATCTTTTCTTCTTATTTGTGCTAATCTTTATGGTGAATCTGCCCCTGTGAGGATTTGCAAGCAGTGATTTTATGTCTTGCTTTCCGGAGAAGGTGATCTCACTTTGACCCTTGGGCTACAGCAGATAGGAGGGCTGTGGACACCTGTGCTCTTTTAAGTCTCAATGCATGTTGCTGTCAGATGGGTTTGGGAACAAAGAGCAAACCTTCTGTGTGGTCCCAAGGTGAAATAGGCAGTGTTTTGCTGGTCCTCAGTCTTTGAGAGGGCTAAGTTAACATTCTTAGGATAGTGGAATATCTGAGATAGAATTTAACATTTTAATTTAATCTACTTTTAATTCATTGACTCTCAAGTTCTACAACAGTCTAGCTTGTTTAGGGCACAAGTCTATATTGTCATTTCTCAAGCTGTAAGAAATTAGTATATGCTTTTATTATATTTAGCAGTAGACTATGGTTGGCAACAAATGAAATTATAGGTCTCGACTATAATGAATGAAATTTAGAAAAGCAATAACTATTCTTCGGCAATTGGGTTGATTAGATGTGTTAGTGCTTTTAGAACATAAAAGTAGCGGTGAACTTGCATTCTTCATGCATTATATGTATGATATGCACTGACAAGAAGAGCACAAAAGATGTATCTCCTAGAGTTTCTTTGTGCATTTCACTACTGTCCTAGGGCACTGCTGTCTTTATGGCTTATTTTAGGTTTGTGTTTGGATGTTGCACAAGTGTCCAAAGAAACGAGTCTTTAATTTCTTTGATGCGTTTCACTTTCAAGTTAGGAAACAGCTAACTTCACTTCTGTTTTATAAAT